ATGATGTGTTGTGGGATTGTGCATCTGAAACCTGTATAAGTTTGTTAACCAGTCTCACCTCAATAAATTCAATACAAAGGAAAAAAATAAAAACTAGAAGGATGTATACCAAAATGTTAGCTGTCATTATCTCCAGTAGGGGGTGTGGATAGGGAAAGATTTTAGGTGATTTGCTTTCCTTTTCATTTGGCTGTGTGTTATGTAATCCATACTATGTGATTCTTGTCAGAGGGTTAAAAATTTTTATTTTATTTTAAAAAGGGTCACTCTTCCAGGTGTTATTTTATTTGCCTCCCAGGCCACTCAGTGATAGAGATTCTAATATTATCCCCATTTTATGGAGGAGGAAACTTGACACAGCTCTGTGACAGACTTGGGTCTCCTGGTTTCACATTCATGCTGCCTCTGTGGGATAAGAGAATGGCAGCACACCCTGTCCTGGGGAGGGGTTGTGGTGTCTGTCCACCCAGCCCCCTCATTTTACAGACCATGGTTGAGACCCTGAAAGGGAAAAGGACCTGTGTGAGGCATATGGTTTTTGAATAAGGACGTGCTCTGAAATTATTTTTTTCTTGGACAGGGTCTGGGGACCAGAAGGCAGGGTAAGGATCTGGCCATCTCTTCACCAGAAGGCTTGACTTTATGTTATCCTAGACCAAAAGGGCAAAGGGGAAAATGTTCTGATATGTAACAGTGGAATATAGTTTTGTTTTTAAAAAGGTCACTTTGAGCCCTGGCCGGTTTGGCTTAGAGGTTAGAGTGTCGGCCTGCAGACCAGAGAGTCCCGGGTTCGGTTCCCGCTAGGGGCATGTACCTTAGTTGCAGTTTGTCCCCAGCCCTGGTTAGGGTTGTGTGGGTGGCAACCAGTGGATGTGTCTCTCTCACATCGATGTTTCTCTCCCCTCACCACTCTCCCTCCCACTCTGAGTGAGGTTTAAAAAATAAATAAATAAAAAATAAAAAGGTCACTTTGATAAATGATTTATGTTGCCAAATCACATTACTTAGATTTTTTTTCTTTTTAAGCTTTGCAAAGTACATATTTCCTATATCTTTTTTTGTTGTTGTTGTTCAGATAGAGTGGGAGGGAGAGAGAGAGAGAGAAACATCGATGTGAAAGGGCCACATCGAGTGGCTGCCACCCGCACGACCCAACCAGGGCTGGGGACAAACTGCAACCCGGGTCTCTCTGGACCGCAGGCCAACGCTCTAACTGCTGAGCCAAACCGGCCAGGGCTCCTATATCTTTTTAAAACGAATTTTTTCTTTGTCTAATTTTCCTTTTTTGACTCTTAGGCATATCTCCACTTATTTAGAGCTCTTGTAGTGATTATATTATTTGAGGTTTTGCTTGTTTATCCGAGAACCTTGTGCCTGGTACTTAGTCGTGTGGATGAATGATAACTGAATTGTGGGTGTGGTATGCAGGAAAAAGTCTGGGTCCAGCTCCCAATAGAAACCTGACCTTGAGGGCACAGTGAGGAGCAGTGCTTGTGTGGTCTGTAGTCAGTGTGTGACCCTATCAATGTGGGGGTGCTGCTTCCAGTGCAGGGAGATTCTAGAGCACTGTAGTTCAAAGGGGCTGGGGCCCATTCAGCTGAGCCCTCGTGGCAGAGTAGTGCTGTCAACCATGAGGCAAGGGGCCGTGGCATGGTATTTCAGGAGTTGGGCTTTGGAGTTTGCTGGATCTGGGTTTGAATCTTGGTCCTATGATGAACTAGCTGTACGTGTTTAGGATAACCTCTCTGTGCCCCAGTTTCATCTTCTGAAAGCTAGGGATGATAATAGTCCCTACCTTACAGGATTGTTGTGAGGATTAAATGAGTGAATACATGTAGAAGAGAACCTGACACATCATAAACACTGAATAAGTGTCAGCTATTATTATTATTAACAATAATAGAATATAAAATTCCTAGAATAGTGCTTGGCCAGTGGCATATCCTGGCACGTGTTTGCTTCCCAGACAAGGTGTGACTTTGTTGTCCATTTAGGGCTGGTTGTAGCTGACTGCTTCTGAATGGGTTTCCCTGCCTGGGAAGCTGCCTCATGGTGATCCATGCTGCCCGAACTGTTACATTACTTACCCAACAAAAGGGCTTCCTCAGACTGTAGTTTCCAGAGAATTCTGAGCTTTTCATTCAGCATTGTGTTTCTATTAGAAATAGAACAGTAACCGCAGCAGGTACCCTGGAGTTTACAGTCTGGCCTTAGCCCCAGACAGCCTGCATTTTTAAAGATTCCCAACACTCTCCCCCCCAGATGTTTATTTGAAAACACATTCGACAGAGCATTAAAGTAATTTCTTCTAGAAAGAAGAAGGGCCTTGATTTTTAGTCTGTGGCTCGCTCCAGGTGATATCTATGTGAGACTTGATGATGAACACTGACTCAACGTGTCACCTTCCTTTGCTGAAGGTGCAGGATTTGGGCACCGTTAACCTGCTCGTGGGAGTCCTGTTTCCCAGGCCTTTGTATTTGGATGCTGTCCTCTGGATTCTGCTTGTTTCTTTGACCTCTGCCAAAGATGGAGAAGTAAAGGTGTGGCAAACAACCTAAGCACAGAAAAAGAATGCAGCCCGCGCGTGTGTGTGTGTGTGTGTGTGTGTGTGTGTGTGTAGGGCCAAGGTGCTGAGGCCTGATGTTGCAGTGTGAGACAGACATATTGATTAAGTACAGTGAAGCATGGTGAGTATTACTAAAGGAGAGGAGAGGGTATTATGGGAGCATGCAGCAGGGTGCCCAGCCTCCCTCACAGGTCAGAGAAGGACACTAGAGAGTGATGTGTAAGCTGAGAGCTAAAGGAGGAATACAAGTTGACTGGGCTAGGGGCAGTGTTCTGTGCAGAAGGAACAGTACATGTGAAGGTCTGAAGAGAAAATCTCATGGTGTTTAAGAAACTGAAGAAGTCTAGTGAGCCCAGGCATGGTGAGAGATGGCACTGGCAATAATGAAGGCAGGAAGCAGATCACGGAAAATGTGAGTCACAGTGAGGATTTTGGGTGACCAAGAGCCAGATACTGTTATTAGGCTTTTTGTCAGTTACTTCAAGCACCACAACGCTGTGATATAGGTGTTTTGTTGGTGGTGAAGTTAAGAGTAAAACAATTTCACTTGCCCCAAGGCATAGACTTAGAAGGCAGTACAGTCAGAACTTGAACCCAGGATTCTCTGGCTCCAAAGCTCGAGTTTTCATGATGACACCACATCCTTCTGAACTTGAGGTCTGTCTGGCTGTTAGCTTTCTGACTTCAGGCTACCTGCTTAATTTCCTTTATCTTCAGTTTACTTACTTTTAAAATGAGTAACATAAATAAATGTTACATTTAGGCTTAGGAAAACAAGGGAAATCAACATAAAGTGCCAAGTAACTTGCCTGGCATACAGCAAGAGCAATGACTTCTTATGGACCCAGGTTCTTGACAGAAAAATGTTTTCTTTCACGTTCCCATGAACTGATGCAGAACCCCACGAGCTGCCTGCTGCATGTGGCCTGGCTGTCTGTCATCTTTCCAAGGACCAGCTGAAATGGAAATCTACATAGAAATCACCTTTGCACACAGGGAACCTACTCCTCTAGCTACCTGCCAGGTCTCGGTACCCTGGGCTCTGCTTCTGCCCTGCAACCCTGCAGTCCTTTGCCCTTCAGCTGGCTAGTGGGAGTGGCCCTGAGGCCTCTTTAGCTCTCCCAAGCATCCACGGGCTCGCTGTCATCCTTTTCCTCCTCCTCCAGAGTCCACTGGGCTTGTTATGCCTACACCTTATGAAATGAGCTTTGTTGCTAATTGACGTGAATTGAATTTTGTTTTTGTTGTTTGACTTTTCTTGTGTTGGACTTGAGGGCAGAGATGGTCTCATCTCTGTGTTTCCTATGGTAATTAGCACAGTACTATCGTAGGTACTCCACAGAGTGCAGTTGTTTTTGCTAGGATAGGGCTTTATGGATACCAAGGCTCTTTTGTATAGTTTTTTTTTTAATCTTCACAGCAGTCCTCTGAAGTAGAGTGTATAGTACTTAGCATAGTTGGGGAAACTAAGGCCTACATTTAAGCAAAATGACCATTACTTAATTCTTTAATTCTGGAATAGTCATTTACTAGGTTAACTCTGTTTCATGGGCTAGGAAAATAGAGCTAAAAGATGTAGTCCCTTCCCTCAAGGATGGGATAGACATTTAAACAAATAATTGTATATAGCAAGTAAAGTTTCAGGACAGAGGAACAATGAAGGTATTTAACTTTATTTGGGGAAGATCCGTGAGAAATTCAGAGACAAAGAGATGGTTGCATTGGGCCTGAAAGAACTGATCTCATGATGCAGAAAGAGTGGGAGGGAGGGCATCCCAGACAGAGCAAATAATTTATACCAAAGGCCATAGGAATGGAGACAGGCCCTTTGGGAGGCCCTGTAGCATCAGCGTGCTGGCAGGAGGTGGATAACAGTGAGTGGTGGTAGAAGAGAAAGATGGCAATAAACCCCACTGGTGAGACCCAATAGCCCCTAGGACTTGCAAGAAACTAAAAGGTTCCTTTCTAGTTTCTTCCCCTTCCTTCAGACTCCCAGTCCCTAGCCCTTCTTCCCAGAGGCACACAGACTGTACATAAACCACCTTGAAGCTTTGAATGGACTCTCCTTTGCCCTGCTTCCTCACACCCCCAGCTTGTCTTCACGTAGATTTGTAATCTCCTTTCCACGCAAAAACACACCTTATCTATCACATGAGTGACCTGCGACCTGACGACTTGGAAGTATAAAGGTTACTGGGTGAAAGAACATCTGTGTCACTTACTCTCTGTGGTCTGAAGTCGCTGGGAAGGAATAAAGTCCATCTGTGACCAAACACCTGTGTCGCTGGCAGTCACCAGAGGGGAGCATTAAAATGCTCCTCAAATGAGTCAGACCCACTGTTCCCGAGCAGACAGGGCCGGTGCAGCTTGAGCTCTGTGGGCAGGTCTCACCAGGCCCCCATCTCACTCTTGCCTGTGTTTGTTTGCCTTGCAGCTGTGTAAATGAGTATGGAAGATTATGATTTCCTGTTTAAAATTGTTTTGATTGGCAATGCCGGCGTGGGGAAGACGTGCCTAGTACGACGATTCACTCAGGTAAGAGAACTCAGGAGTCCAGGGTTGGCTTTCTCAGTCTGGCCTGTGGGGATAGGAGCAACCAACGGGATGTGTGACTGACCCGCGCCCGTCTCCTGGCTGCCGGTTGTTAATGCTCCCTTTGAAAGAGCTCCAGATTTGTAGCCTAGGCTAGAGCTCTTAAAACACCTCAAGGGAGCCCTGGCCGGTTTGGCTCAGCAGTTGGAGCGTTGGCCTGTGGACCAGAGAGTCCGGGGTTTGGTTCCCGCTAGGGACACGTACCAAAAAGAAAACCTCAAGGGAGCGTGGCTTTCTGTGTCACCACCACCCTCCCATGGCCCTTGTTGCTTGCTTCCTTTCACGAAAGGGGCAAGTCATTTTGTTTTCAGTGTGCAGCATCAAAACTAGATGATTAGTCCCTGGCCAGGTGGTTCAGTTGGTTGGAGCGTCGTCCTGTATACCAAAAGGTTGGGATTTGATTCCTGGTCAGGGCACATTCCTAGGTTTCAGGTTTGATCCCCGGTCGGGGTACGTACGGGACGCATCTGATAATCAATAAACATATCCTCAGGTGAGGATTAAAAAATAGATGATTAGATTAATAAATAGATTGTTAGTGAATAGTAATCTAAAGGGAGAAACAAATGAATCTGGATATCAAATTAAACCTAAACATTAATTAAAAAACAGCTCAGATACAAATTAAACAAATCAAACTCCCTGCCTTTGCCCTCTCAAATCCTCCCAGGAAACCGAGGGAATTATTTTGGTTCAGAACGAAATATGCTGATTTTTCTAGATGTGTTAAATGGAAATGAAATGAGAACAGTGAAGGACTATTTGAACTAAATAAAATGTTCCCTCTGGGTTGAGTCCTTATCTTGTGATCTAAGTACAAATTTCCTTTGGGGCTGCCCTTTTGAAAATTATTGCCAGAGATTATACACTTGTTTTCATACAGAAATTGTGGGAAATCATTCTGAGGTTGACCTTCTTTTGTGTTTTTCTGGAAAAGATATGAATGACATCCTTTTCAGGATTATCATGCAGGCATCTTGCATTGAGACTAGATCTGTCTGAGGCTAGGGCAGCCTGGTGCCGTGGAAAGGACATTGTCTTGAGAGTCAGGACAGTCCCAGCTCTGCCCTTGATCATCTGTGACCTACCCTGGTTGGGCCTCCCTGAGGCACATTAGGGGCCTGGTGAGCTCCAAGGCCCCTTGAAGCAATGACATCTGTGGTCCTGTGGAAAACTGGAGAGGCAGATTGGATAAGATAAACAGCGTTAGAACAGAGGCCCCTTTGGAAATGTCAGGGTTTTTCCCATGATAATGAACACAATAGAACTGCATTTTTTACGAAGTCTCAGCTTGTCGAAATCAAGGGTAATGAGCTAACATAGCTGGGCTCAGTCAAAACCATGGCGTCATATTGGAAACTCCAACTGGTTTTACTTCCACCTAACATTAGCTGTCTTTTCTGCTTGTGGCAGGAGGAGAAGACTGCAGAGATGTAGAGAAGTTTTCAGTCCCTTTTTCAGAAATTCCTTTGTCCATGTCTTGTTACAGAAAGAGAGTCTTTAGCCTGCTGCTCTCATTTTATGGATGAAAAACTCAGGTCTAGATGGATGAAATAACTTTGTAGGATTTCATACCATGTTAGTGGCAAGGCTAGTATTAGAACCCATGTCTCCCAGCTCTCAGCCTGATCATTTTTATCTTTTGCATATTCTAACCTCTGAAACCACAGAAATCTTGCATTTCTTCTTAAAAGCAGAAACCTTGTTGTTAGAGGTAAAAAAAAAAAAAATGCTTCTATTTTTGAACACTAATTTTTTTACCAGTAAGCACATTACCCCTTATTTTTCATTTCTGTGTGCTTTTTACCCCTCCCAGTCCCTCAGCTCCCCCAAAAGTTTGTATTTCATAGACGGGATTATGTTTGGTTTTGTTATTTAATAGACAGTTAAAATGAATTGGATTCAGCTGTTTCAGAGGCATGAGGAGTTGGGGAACAAAATGAGGAGAGAAGACATTGGGAAGGATTTGTTTTATTTTGTGGCATTTGTTAACTGCAAAACAGCTGGAGCTATAAACTTGAAGCTTGGCAGCCTTGTGTTTGAGCCAAACCAAAATAGAAGAAAATTGATTCAATATTTGTAAGTAAAGTTATGAATGTTTATGTTGACATTTTTTGCAGACATGCAATGGAACATTTTCTGTTGGTTTGAAGCTCAGTCTTTTAAGTTTAAACATTAATTGAAGAATTTTCTTGTTAAGGAATGGACTTAATTAAAGATGATCCGATCTTAGCTGCCAGAGCCAATAGAATCCATTTTAATTTAATTTCTGGAAATTCTGGAATACAAGTGACGAGGGAAGAGAAACTAGGTGAAGTGTTCTTTCTTGATAGAACTCCTTCCTACTGCCAACTCCCTCCCTAAACTTACAGGAAATATTATGTAACAGTAAATTACATTTTGACAGAGTGTTTCAAGTATAGTTTCCAGTTTGAGGTAAAATTATTTTTGTTCTGAAATGCTTATATCACCCTTAAACTCACTGAATTTGAGGCCCAACGAGGGGGGAACTGGTTTGCCTGAGGTCACACAGAATTCTCCTAAGGCTGATATCTCCTGGTTTAGTGCTACTTCTACTAGACTTTCTCCCCGAATGATTTTGTTTTCCTCAGTGACCCTCTCAGTATCATTGCCCCTGATCTCATGTAACTATAAAGTTATCACCCTCAGGGCAGAGGGTAATCCAAAAGCTTCACTGTCTCGTTCATTTTTCTCACACTGCATTGAGTTTCTCGTGTTGGGTGACCATGCCCTAGACTGATAATTAGTTTTAATCTTCTTTGGTAATACCTCTTTCAGAGAACCCACCCATTTTGCCCTCACCCTAACAATCCTGATCTCATCCCTGTAGCTCCATGTTTCTCAGCCTTATCCTCCTGTCTGATTTTTTTCTGTTTCATTGTTTGAAATCAGATCCCCCGTCCTTTCCCAATTCTCTCCCTTCATCCTGTCTTCCTCTCCTTTATTTTTCTCCCTTTCCCTTTCTTTCCTTTTTTTTTTTTTCCAGAATTTCTGTCTCCCTCCTTTCTCCTTCCCTCAAAACATACACACCTGCAAAATTACATTAAACAGGGCTCCCAAGGCACTAGCCAGAGTTCTTTTCTCTACTGGTTAACTCAGCCAAAGGAAGGGGCTGGTAATGGGCAGTGATGGGGAAGTGGGAGAATTTAATTTAATTGAAAGATGTGCTTAATTGTTATTTTCTATTATTTCTCCTTTAGGGTCTTTTCCCCCCAGGGCAAGGAGCCACAATTGGAGTTGATTTTATGATTAAGACAGTGGAGATTAATGGTGAAAAAGTAAAGGTAAGATGCTGAGGGTTCAATAAGTTTTTATTGTGCTATGTGAGAGAAGTAGAGTTTTCATAATATTTATTATGGAATATTATGGCAGCTTATTTCCAAACACAGCTCATTCCCTTTTGTGGGGCCAGGAAGGGATTGTGGATGATGGTTTACAAATGGGAAGACAGAGAAAGAAGGGCTAAAGCAAGTTTGTCCTTTCTTCATTCACATCAGAGGTGATGTAAGAACAAGGCAGAAATTTCCTTTTGGGATCTCCTGAGTTGGGCTAGAAAGTGGTGCTACCTTGTCTGAACAGCAGCCTCATGAAGGATCAGTGGATTCCCACACTGGTTATGGGTTATTCAGTCACATGGATCATTTACTTTCTCCATCACATCTCTGTTCCTAGCAAGAGAGAGAAACTAGAGGAGGGGTTCAAGAGGGATCCACAATCTCTCCCTTCCCCTTTGTGGCCTCTGGATAGTTTGGTATCAGTAAGAACTGTGGTATCAATAACAGGAGAAGGGAGGTGCTGCTTAGCAAGTACCTACTATGTGTCAGTCCCTCTGCTCGGTGAGTTTGTGTGTGTGGTCCTATTTGACTTAATCTTCATTATAACTCTTGTCAGTTAACTAGTAAATTATCTTCACTTTATAGGTTTCAGAGAGGTTGAGTGACGTACTTATCTGTGGCTTCACAGGAAAGGAGGTAGGCAGGATCTGAACCAATTTTGTGAGCTAGTGCACCCACTGCCTCCCTGGGGTCCCCCTGCCATGAAAGAAGAGGGGAGTGAAGGCACAGGAAGCTTGGCACCTTGGAGCAAGGGAAGAAAGAAGGCTTTGGAAAGGTGAAATGAGACTAAATCACATAGAGGGAGGGTAGAGACCTGCCCTTAGAGTTAGTGAAGGCCGCTGAGGTCTTTCAGAGCTCAGGCCCATGGGAAGAGCCCCAGCTCTGGCATCGGCTGCACGGTGAAACAGTGGCATCAGTCCCTTCTAGATCCCGACCCAAGCACCCCAAGTTTGAGTCCGTGTCATTTACATCCTTCTCCGGTGTGTACCTGTGCCCCTGCCTTCAAAGCTTCGGGAAGGGCAGAGAAGCTCCAGGGTGCTCCTGCAGCGTCTCACACATACAGAGTAGTGTTTCGGATGCGTCTCCTGCGTAGGGGACAGAAGCTCTCCAGGGTCTCGTCCAGCTGTGACTCCACAGAAGACTCCTATGGCCAGTGTTTACACCACATATAATAGTGATGGAGACCTGGGGGCCCTGAGAAGCAAAAACGGGGTGCAAAACCCATGGAAATGCCGACTGGAAAGCTCAGAAAGAGTGCGTTGGGTGGGGAGAAGGCACCAGGGGGGGATCGAAGGAGGCAGCAGTGCATCCGGCAGGCTGGGCAGGAACAGCCACTTGAGCGCTGTGCTTCCAGCAGAGCGGCCGCCGAGGAGCTGAGTAAGGAGAGCTGCTGTTCGGGCGTTTTACTTTCCATGTTTAGGTTTTCCATTTATGTATGTATATATGTGTGAGTTAAGTCCTTTGACCAGAAATGTTAGCTCTTGCCATGTGCCAGGCACTGGGAATGAACAGGGCTGAGTAAGAAATTGTCCCTACTGGCCCTGGCTGGTTTGGCTCAGTGGTTAGAGCGTCGGCCTGCGGTCCAGAGAGACCCGGGTTCAGTTCCCGCTAAGGGCACGTACCTCGGTTGCAGTGTGTCCCTGGCCCTGGTTGGGTCGTATGGGTAGCAACCACTCGATGTGTCCTTTTCACATCTATGTTTCTCTCTCTCTCTCTCTCTCCCTCCCACTCTATCTGAACAAAATATCAAAAAATGTCCTCAGGTGAGGATAAAAAAAAAAAAAGAAATTGTCCCTACTGTTTAAGAACAGGCTTATTTTTCTTTCCTGAGTTCCCAGGTTAGGTGTTAGATTTATTCTTCTTTGTGTGAACCATAACCTCATTTTTAAGTGTTCAGCTAAAAAGCCATCTTTTTATAACATATGACTCCATCATGAGACCCTGGTTTGTGTCTTATTTCTCTGAATTGACAGAACCGTTGCTGTCGCCGTCACCTGTTCAGGCCTCTGGACATTCATCCATAGACAGTGAGAGTTAGCCAATCTCCCAAATGAAGTCCTAACCCATTTGCCTGTGATTCTAGCCAAGTATGTAGATTCAAGATGCAGAATGACCCTTTTCAACCACATTAATCCCAGGGCCCTGTTAACACTTGGCCACACGAGGAGCAACTCCTTCTGTCTCTCAGTGGAAAAGGGCAGAGCTGCCCAGGCTTCACTGGGCAAACCTTTGTCTTATTGTTGTCCTTGTTCATGGACATTTACTGCCCACCCCTTCTTGGTGAGGTTTTAAGTGTCTTTTGCTAGTAGTTTGCATGTTTTCTCAGCGCCCCAGAGAGGCAGTGGCAAAAAGATCACCCACCTGGCGAGTGGCAGGGTACAACCAGAATCTGTCTTCTGACTTCTCGTCTCCCCCACCCTCCTCCACAAGTCTCATTCTTCCTTGGATGGCTCCCAGGATTGAAGACAGAAAATCAAAAGTAGTAAAGATTCTTACAGCTATTAAAGTTAATGCCAAGCAGTAAAGGCACAGCTGAGGAAGAGGCCTTTTTCTCCGGGTGCTCTGCATGAATGAAGGTGACCTTGAATTGAACACATAATGGAAACATGTATAGAATGTTCTCCTATCCATTGATATATTTTAGCCTATCATAAATAAATGCATAAGGAAAACTCTAAGCTAGTTTACAACATTTTAACTTTAGGAGATTGATTATAGCAATAGAAGATTTCTTTGGATTTCTCTCTAATCAGGTGTATTTTGTGTAGATAGGAAAGTCTTGAAAGTATGCACATATATTTGCTCATTCGACCATCTGTCCATCCGTTTATTTATCCATCCTGTGTTGTAGTAGATGCTCTTTCCCAGCACGGTGTTAGGTAAAGCACTTGGCTTCCTAGTAACTTACTGTCATCAAGCTCAAACATTTTATCTATGAAAATTTCCTTACTGTCCTACTAATTATTACACAGAATTAATCCTTCCTTTGTGATTCCACAATCCTTTGTCTTCCAGTTAGCCATTATTCAAATGTGTCCACCGTGTACCATGTACAGTGTTAGGAAGGTACCGGTGAATAAAGTTAAGAGACAGTCCTTGTCCTTAAAGAAAGTCTAGCAAGGCGACTCACTAGTAAACCAGTGGTTGCAATAGATGACTGTGGCGGTGAGGCAGCAGAGGTGTAAGTGGCAGTGTAGCCCATGCTGGGGGGAGAGTGGTTAGAAAGTCGTGGCTGCGCAGTGAGAACAGATGGACTGGCATGGGACTAACACTTGGGGGCACTTTCTCCTGCTGGCGCCTCCTTAAAAGGGTGTCTCATATTTTATTATGGTTAATATTGTGCTAATCTTCCCTATAGACAGAGCTCTTTGAGATCATGGATTGTGTTTTAGTCATCTTTGTGTCCTCCCTGTACTTAGTACAGGGCTCTGCATGTATTAATGAGCTGTAAATGCTGAGAAGGAGCGAATGCACTGCGGAGAGAGTGGTGAGGCCGAGTTGAGCGATAAAGGCAATGGAATATGGAGAGCCTCAAGAGTCAACTATAAGGCTAGAAATAGGTAGCCTCCTATGAGAAAGCATCTTGGTAAGGCAATGCAATCACTTTTTAAGAAAATATTTCTAAACATTTCAGTGGCTTTAATCCTCAAAGCTATTCTCAAGATGTGCCAGTCATACTAATTTCTAACTTTTCTTTCTTTCTTTCTTTCTTTCTTTCTTTCTTTCTTTCTTTCTTTCTTTCTTTCTTTCTTTCTTTCTTTCTTTCCCCTCCCTCCCTCCCTCCCTCCCTCCCTCCCTCCCTCCCTCCCTCCCTCCCCCTCCCTTCTCTCTCTCTCTCTCTCTCTTTCTTTCTTTCTTTTTTGAGAACATACTAATTTCTAGTGATTTACAGGGTTAAATCCCATCACAAGTGTTTTTAGGGGCTCAATGTGGCATTAAAACAACAGTCTGCAGTTCTAAGATCCTGGCAGAGGGGAACCATGTCCCTACATTTGAGACAGAGCAGAAATAACCTTTGTCCAGGCAGAAGCCAGAACATCTGTATGGTCGTGTTCAGCATGCACAGACTTTCATGTACACCATCAAAGAGCAGCTGTAACTCCACATCAGAGAGCTTTTGTGCTGCTAATTGGTGGCAGGGACTACTGGTCACTCTTCAGTTTCTTCCTAACTTGGTAAGAGCAGAGGGTGACACCAACTGACTCCTCCTCTCTGGATGCCCATGTGCATTTAAATCAGTCTCCAGGAGCAAACTCAGTGCAGCGGCATGAAATGCGTCCTCATCTGGGGATGAGAAGGCCTGGGGTCCCAGCTTTGTGAGTAACCGGTCAGGAGATGGAGTTTCCTATCTGGATTGGCTCCCAAGTAACTTACTGTCATCAAACTTAAACATTTTATCTATGAAAAATTCCTTACTGTCCTACTAATTATTACACAGAATTAATCCTTCCTTTGTGATTCCACAATCCTTTGTCTTCCAGTTAGCCATTATTCAAATGTGTCCACTGTGTACCATGTACAGTGTTAGGAAGGTACCGGGGAATAAAGGCATAAACTCGCCTAACACACTGGATTGCTGTAAGGACTAGATGAGACTGTCAACAAATATTTGAACATCCCACCATTTGACAGACACTCTCTTTAGTGCAGGGAAAATTGTGAGTAAAATGGTCTCAGACTTCCCCCTCGTGAAGCTTTCAGGTCAGTGAGGAAGACAACTATTACACAAATTATTGCAGATAAGTAAACGCTTAAAATGTGTCAGGTACATGAAGGAGAATTACAGGGCAGGTTGCAGGGGAGAATATGTGGGGGTGAGAATGGGGAGCCTGGCCTAATCTGAAGGTGCCAGAAGGCCTTCTTTGAGGAAATGATGTTTTGTTAGTGGGGGTGAATACATTTTGCGACGTGTGAAATGTATGCAATTAGAAGGGAAGATTATTGTTGTTATTTCTCAACAGTTCTCTTTCATTATCTTCTGCTCTGTGTAGGGAAATTCTGGGAGAAGTGAGAAGTGTTTTGCCCTGTTTTTTTTTTGTTGTTATTAGAACCATCTATTATATCATAGAACTGGTAGATGACTTCAGAAAATGGGAATTTTCAGCAGGTTTATATATTCACTAACCTCTTTTTATAAAGAAACCGCTGGAGCCTAAAGAGACTAAGTGACTTGCTCAAGGTCACAGAGCTTAAAAGGGTGGAAGGAAATTATTATTTTTGTCTGCCATGGCACCCTTCCTCTTTTCATTAACGAAGATAACATTTTAATATATTCATTTGAATTTTGACCTGGAAAAGGTGGAGAAGTTGGATTTTCTCCCTCTCCAGTTGCTGACTGAAAGTGTAACAACCACAGAATGACAGGTGGCCCTGTATCCCGACTCAGAATACTGCATTGTGGTTAGGAGCAGGGACTCGGGACCATAATGCCTGGTTGAACTGGCTCTGGAACATCCTGGCCGTGAGATGTGAGCAGGTTAATTAATGCCTCTGTGACTTGTGAGAATTGGATACAGTAAAGGTTCCTATCTCATAGTTACTGTGAGGATTAAGTGACACATAATAAAAGCTCATAGACACAGACAACAGTGTGGTGTTAGCCAGAGGGAACAGGGGTCGGGTGGGGGTAGGTGGAGGTGGGCAAAGCGGGGGAAATGGGGACAGAAAGAGGCTGCTTGGGGCCATGGGAGCAGAATGCAGTGTGCAGGTGATGGTTGCTGAGTTGTGTACTTGAAACCTGTATGGTTTTGTGAACCAGTATCACCCCATTAAATTCAATAACAACTTGCCCGGCTGGTGTGGCTCAGTGGTTGAGCGTCTACCCATGCACCAAGAGGTCGCCAGTTCGATTCCCGGTCAGGGCCCAGGCCCAGGGTGTGGGCCAAATCCCCAGAGAGGGGCATGCAGGAGGCGGCCAATCGATGTTCTCTCTCATCTATGTTTCTGTCTCTCTCTCCCTCTCCCTTTCTCTCTTTCTAAAATCAATGAAGAACAATTTTTTAAAAATTTAACAACAAAAAGAAAAAGAGTAAGAGGGAAACTCTTAAATCTTAACAAAGCAACAACAAACAAACAAAAAAAACCCCAAATCCTAAGTAAGCTCCTGTCTCTAACCAGACACACACAATACATTAAAAAAAATTGTAAGTGCTTTTTCCTTAGGGTAGAAAATAACTATGAAATCATTTGGGTAAAGGTGTTTCTACTTCTAAAGTGAGGCAATGCTTTCTTTCTTTTCTACGTCTCCAACTTGAGCCTTCTCGTACCTTTACAGCTTCAGATCTGGGACACAGCAGGTCAAGAGAGATTTCGGTCCATTACCCAGAGTTACTACCGAAGCGCCAATGCCTTGATCCTCACCTATGACATCACCTGTGAGGAATCCTTCCGTTGCCTTCCTGAGTGGCTGCGGGAGATAGAACAGTATGCCAGCAACAAGGTCATCACTGTGCTCGTTGGTGAGTAAGGACTGAGGAGGGAAGTTTATTTTGGGGCATCAGAGACTTTATAATCACATAAAGGTTGTGCCTTGTTACCTTCCAAGAATATAGTCTATTGCTGTGTAATTCAAGCAGTCAACATTCAGTTCTGCAATTGAAGAGAAAATGAGGTAGGTCCTCTCTCATGGTGATGGTTTAGAAAAGTAAAGTAGAAAATATTGCTGATTGATTTTTCTATCAATGTAGGCTCTAGGGAAGAAGATAGACTGCCATGAAGTTATGTGGGATGCTAAACATTACTTTAAATCTAATTATGAGATCATGAAACTACTGGTCTAGAAGTAAAATATATCTCTTAAGTTGATATGGAATTCATTATTGAAGCAATTGCTTTTTGCCTAAAATATGGACTTTGGCTGATTTTTTCCCTTCTTACATTTATGCTCATTTGAGAAATTCTAATTTTCATAAAGATTCTAATAAGGGAAATTCTGCAGTTTGTTTCATTTTGTAGAAGGGTAGAACCTCTGTTTAATATGGGGGAAAACAGAAAACAATCCATCATTTCCATGGTGACAAATACACCCATTATGAATAGAATTTCAGTGAAATACCAGATCATTAAAATTCCTCTAGCGGTGATGGAGAAATGTTAATAATACATGGTTGTTAAAATGTTTTCTTCCTAAGCCCTGGCTGGTTTGACTTCGTGGTTAGAGTGCCAGCCTGAGGACCAAAGAGTCTCGGGTTCGATTCCAGTCAAGGGCACATACCTGAGTTTCAGTTTGGTCCCTGGCCCTGGTCGGGGTCATGTGGGAGGCAACCAGTTGATGTGTTTCTTTCACATCAATGTTTCTCTCTCCCTCTCCCTCCCACTCTGTCTGGAAAGAGAAAACCAAAACGTTTTCTTCCTAAGAAGGAATATTACTGTATATTCTAGCAAGACCTGAATTGGAAATCTGGGTAGAGAACCTCAGAAACATTAAGTTATGAATTATGACTAATGGTAAGTTAACACTGTATGGTAAGCATTATAGCTAGCATATATATGCCAGGAGTCCTACTAGGAACTTTATGTGTCATGAGCCTTAATTTACAGATGAGGAAACCAAGGCCCCGAGAGGTGAAATTTTTGACCAAGGTGAAACAACGTATAAAATCTACCTCAAGCCCTGGCCGGTTTGGCTCAGCAGTTAGAGCGTTGGCCTGCGGTCCGGAGAGACCCGGGTTCGGTTCCCGCTAAGGGCACGTACCTCGGTTGCAGTTTGTCCCCGACCCTGGTTGGGTCGTGTGGGTGGCAACCACTCGATGTGTCGCTCTCACGTCAATGTTTCTCTCTCTCTCTCTCTCCCTCTCACTCTATCTGAACAAAATATCGAAAAATGTCCTCGAGTGAGGATAAAAAAAAAAAAAAAAATCTACCTCAAACCCTGTGTTTGTCCAACTTGAACATGCTGCTTTGCAGCAAATTCCTGGACTTTTCTTTCAGGCTGCTGGGTTAAGTGTCTGCCTCTCCATGAGCCAGTGCTCCATCCCCAGTCCTGAAAACCCTCTTGCGCACTGCAGAACCTCTGTCATGAAGCACCTAAGAACCCTCAGCTTTGGACTTGGGCTTTCTTTCTGTTCCACAGAAAGCCCTTGAGACTTGAGTCAAAGCTTTAGTACTTGGGAATCTAAGGAAATTAAATGAAGATTTGAGGAGAGATAATGAGTCAGTTCTGTAGGAAAGAGGCACTGGCTTTTTTGTTTAACTTTATTATGGAAATTTCAAACATAAGCAATGGAAGAGAAAACAGTATGATGAACTCCATGCACACATCTCTCAGCTTTGGCAGTTATCGCCTCATGGCCAATCTCACTTCATTCGTTCCCCCTCTATTCTGTCTGCCTTCTCCTTTGATTATTATTATTTTCAAAATTTGTTTTAATCCTCACTCTAGGATATGATTTTACTGCTATTGAAAGGGTGGGGGGAGAAACAGCGATCAATTGCCTCCTGCACATGCCTCCGGCCAGGGATTGATTGAATCTGCAACCTAGGTATGTGTCCTGACTGGGAATTAAATCCGCAGTCTTTTAGTGGACAGGACAGTGCTTCAACCAACTCAACCACCTGGTCAGGGCCCCCTTCAGATTATTTTAAAGCATTAAATAAAGAAAGATATATTAATTCATCTTTCAAATTTCAGTGTATAGCTCTAAAAGATAAGTGGTTTTTTTTTAATCCTCACCCGAGGATATTTTTGCATTTATCTTCACAAGAACAAGAGGGAGAGAGGGAGGGAGAGAGAGAAACATAGGTGTGAGAAAGACACATAGAGTGGTTGCCACCCACGCGACCCCAACTGGGACTGGGGACAAACTGCAACTGAGGTAGGTGCCCTTAGCAGGAAGCAAACCTGGGACTCTCTGGTCCGTGGGTCGATGTTCTAACTGCTGAGCCAAACTGGCCAGGGCAAGTTTTTTTTTTTTTCAGGAGAACCTAACCACAATGCCACTTCACATGTAAAAAATATTAACATTTTTGTTTTAATTTTGTTTAATCCTCACCTGATATTTTTTTCATTGATTTTTTTAAAGAGAGAATGGAAGGGAGGGAGGGACGGGGAGGGAGAGGGAGAAAGAAACATCAATGTGAGAGAGACACATTGCCCTGACCGGGCCAGGCATTGAACCTGCAACCCAGGTACATACCCTTGATTGGGAATTAAATCCTCGACCCTTTGGTGTGTGGGTAAATGCTCTAACCACTAAGTGACACCAGCCAGGGCAATAATTCTTTAATAATATAAAAAAATTTAGGCAATATTCAAATTTCCTTGATTGACTCAAAATTATTTCAGTCTATTCAAATCAAGATCTAAATAAAGTCCCTATATTGTAATTGCTTTTTAAATATTTTAAAATTATCCTTTTATCTGTAGCTTACCCCTCTATTTTTTCTCCCTTGGAACTTGTTAAAGCATGCTTGTCTAAAATTCAGAGTTTTAAGTCTGAATTTTGTTATTTCATGCTTGGGGTTCCGTTTGGCACACTCCTCCATTACCTGTATTTCTTGCAGATTTGTAGGTAAATCTAGAGGCCTGGTCAGGTTTAGGGGTTTTTGTTTTTGCTTTTCTTTTTCCTTTTAGTAAAAATTCTTGGCAGTTGGTATTCTGAGGTATAGTTCTCACAGGACAGTCAAGAAAAATGCTCCATTCTTTTTTATTTACCATTTTTCAAGATAAGTTGGTGCCCAGTATCTTCTAAAAGTAACTATTAAAGTTTTTATTTACATATCATATTTAAATATATTCGATGTATTCTAGTCTCTTGCAATTATTATCAGCGCTACATCTCTTCCAACTTTGATACTGGGAGCTTCTTCAAATGGGCTCCTGAGTCCTTTTGACACGACCCCAGGAAGCTGATAATTTTTTGTTTTCTGGTGTGACAAGTATTCCAGGCACATCTTGTACATTTCCTGCCCAGGCCTGGAATTAACCATTTGTTCAAGAAGCACTGTTTCCTTTTAGTGGGATGTTGTATTTAGAGGCCACAACCAAGGTGATAGGAATCCTCCTTATGAGTGGGCTGGTTATTGCTTATAGGCATCTCAGTAGACAGAGCTAGAGAGAGAGAGAGAGAGAGAGAGAGAGAGAGAGAGAGAGAGAAATGCTGTAGCACCCACAAAAGGGTTGTCCTATTAGGCTCTACCAAACATTTTGACTCACACTTGGCATTACATTCACTTAGAAGGGTATAGGACAGGAGACCCGCTTAGCAGGAGGTCAGCACCAGGCACCATCTTCCGTGGAAGCAGTCCTCATGGCAGTCCACGCAGCTGTCCAGAACCTCCCAGGACCAGTCAGGTATGAGGAAAAAGGCTCACTTCAGGCACCTGCAAGATCTGCCCTGGCCTAAAAGCCTCAGGGGCCCAGAGGAGCCAGTCTCGCTCATAACAACTCCACAGGCCTAACTTTCAGGGTCTCTTCAGGTGAAGATTCACCACACTCAGGGAAGCCCAAAGTTATGGCTTTCCATTAGGTATTTATAATTCATACACAGAATTCCCAGGCCATATGAATTTATCAGTCAGGATCCCTTTTACCACAGAAAATATTGCCAAGTAACATAATTAACATATTACCTTTGTCAGATTTCCCAGAGAAGAGAGGTCAATTTTTTGAAAGATAAAATATGCCATGAATTATTCACTGTGATATTTCCATTTATAACTAGAACTTCAGAAATTGTACTTAACCTCATCAATCTTATATCTGTATTTCCTTTTTCCTGTGCCCCAAATCCCTGTCCCAGTGACACCTGTGTAATCACTCATTTGCTTTACCCTGAAAAACATCCATAGTGGCCCCCGAGTAGCAATGCTACCACTATGATTACTGCAAAAGTTCCAGACTCTTTTCTTCAACTCTTTTTATTCTTGGGGCATATGCAACTGTGGATGCATAGTTAAATCACTGTGTCTTAAACTCACGTAAAATAGTTTCTCTGGGTATTTATACCACTTCATGATAAATACGTTCATTTGTTTAGTTTTGCCTTCAATTTTAGGAATAGCTCTTTAAATTTAATTTCATATTAATTGTATAATTATGGTTGATTATTTAATTATGTAAAACATTTGTATGGTTCTGAAGTCAAATCTATAAAACGAGGTACATTTAGAGAGGCCTAGCTTTTGTCCTTCCCTATGCCTTAACCTTATTCCTTTAATGGGTACCCATTATCTTTAAAATTAAGATTTTGGTTTATTCTGCCATTAAAAATAAGCAAATAAACTTTGTGTATATTTTTTCATCCTTGTTCTTAGACAGTTGTATATTATATACACTTTCTTCTGCTTTGCTTTATTCACTTAACAGTACACCCTAGTGTCTCACCTGGCAGCAGATAAAGATATCCCTTATTGCTTTTTGCAGTGGCAGATAACTCCAAGTAACTATGGGTGTACGACAGTGTATTTAGTCAGCACCCAACTGATGGACATTTGGGCAGTTTCCAGTTCATTGCCATTACAAATGGCACCGGTATTTTAAAATAAACATCCCAGTAATTACGCTCCCATTTGCTTGGCTTTCCTTGCCCATCAGTCTGGTTTGACTTCAGCTATGGAATTGAAATTTTTTTGGGGGGGGTACGTGCCCCTAGTGGGAACCGAACCTGGGACTCTCTGGTCCATGGGTCGACATTCTAACCACTGAGCCAAACCGGCCAGGGCTATGGAATTGAATTTTGATGTTTCCGAGCCTGCAAAAAGTCAAATGGTGATTCCTTCTGTGATTTTACCACTGTTGTAGGCAACAAGATTGATTTGGCTGAAAGGAGAGAGGTCTCCCAGCAGAGAGCTGAAGAATTCTCAGAAGCCCAGGACATGTATTATCTGGAGACCTCAGCCAAGGAATCTGATAACGTGGAGAAACTCTTCCTTGACTTGGCGTGCCGCCTCATCAGCGAAGCCAGGCAGAACACACTTGTGAACAGTGTATCATCACCCTTACCTGGAGAAGGGAAAAGCATCAGCTATTTGACTTGTTGTAACTTCAACTAAAGGCTGAGGCCAGGAGAAACAAGAGGAATCAGCAGCTGCTCTGATGGCCACAAATTGCTGGGGAAATCTGGCGACGATGATGGCCCCCGCTCTTGGACCTTCTGACTCCTGAGTTTACAACGCATGGCCGGCCAAGGGCCTGGTCCACAGGCCGGCACTAGCAGAACCTATAACGGCTTCATCCTTTTGCAGTCTGGAGTCAGAGCAAGGAGAAAATTGCACTAGGCACTCCATGACCTGCAAAGCATGTTGCTTTTGTTTTTTTTAAAAAAGCAAGCAAAAGCGCATTCCTGAACCCAGTCGGGAGAATCCCTCCTGCACACGAGTGGGTGCATGTGAGGGCTGTTCCTTAGGGCTTCTGGGGGCCTTGGTTTTCTTGTCCACCAGATAAACCAAAACTGGGAAGGCCAAGTACTGTCTCTGTGGTGTGTGTTGATGACCCCATGGAGATTTTGAAGTGTTATTTCTCTTGTCCGCAGGCACTTTCAAGAACTTTGGGATGTAAAAATGAAATGAAACCTTTACCCATGACCAACAGTTAACAATTATTGTTTTAATGATATATATATATATAAGCTCATGACTCCTCTTGGTGCTAATGATTCCGCTGTTCCACAGACCAAACATTTTAGTACATTGATGTCCTTAAATGTATTTCATAGAAATAAAAAAAAAAAAAATAAGGGAAGTCCATGAATCAGCACTCTTTCTCAAAATCTCATTATACCTTTTCCAGGGTGGATTTGTTGGAAAGACTGTACCTTTCTTTCATGTTCCCCTCTAAATTTTCTTCTGTTTCCTCATCTTTCCTGCCCTTTAAATGAAAACAATTGAAAAATAGAAAATAAGAATGGTTGATAATATTCTAATATAAAAAATGAGCTCTAAGACACTCTGCGTAAGTATGAGAAAACAGACCAGATCTGACCAAAATACTGTGGATTAATGGACTGCATGCAGGGCAGTGTGCCAAGCAGAGCACAGCCCTTGATAGCAGGTCATATCTTCGACCTTCTGGTACTATCTTTCTTGGACAGACCAAGGCTTAGGGTTTTGTAGGTTTTTAGTATAAGTGAAAATAGCAACAGATGAAACTTCTTATGAACCATTTTTGTATCTTCAGTGATAACCTTAGAAAGTTTCTGCTTGTGGAAGCAGGTTCAGTGGTCATCTGTAACCTCCTGTGTGTAGCAATGTTACTCTCAGATCATACATTCTTTCCTGTTTTTTCTTTTCTTTTCCTTTCTTTCTTTCCTGGCCTCTCCCTTCTTTCCTTTCTTCCCCTCCTCTTCCTAACTCCCTTCTTTCCTAATATGCACGTGTTACTGCGAATCTCCAATTCAGATGGAGGTGTATATGCCTTTACCTAGCCAATTTTAAACCAGGACTAAAAAATGGAAGACATGCTGCTGAATATGTATTATTTCTTCAGTGCCATACTTTGATACCTTCCAATTTGTTCACTGATATAAATGCAAATTGGGAAAATAATTAAACCCGTCGATGCTGTCAGATGTTTGTGTAGCGTGCTGCTTAGCATCACTGAGGGATGAGTAATGGAGAAGGATATAATATGCACTGCCACGGTTTCTGTAGATGGTGGCGATCTCGGTCCTGATATGTTGATGTCTGAAAGCTAATTTTAAAAAAAACAAGTCATGTAGAGACACGATATTGATAAAGCATTTCTAGCACTCTCAAGCAGGTTCCAGAGCGACCCTTCTCTTGCACATGGGGACTACATTATTCTTTAAGGGACTGCTGCTTTTGTTTGGCCCTACTGTGTTTGTCCTGATTGTATGGGCAAGAGAGATCCCAGAAGTTTGAATTGCTTTTATTTCTGAATCACTCTCTATAGGAAAGAAGAGTCATTTTAATAAACACCAACCAAAATAATTTATAACTGTTGCCTTTCCCTCCCCGTCTTCCCCACTAAACGGGCAATGAAAGGTATTCAGAAAATAAGCTGATCAAGGTGGGCAGAACTTCTGTTTTGAAGCTGTGACGAAATGTGCCTAAATTTAGATTTATTATCTTTTAATTAGGGCAAACATCCAATCACTCTAGGACATCATGACCCAACTTTGTTTCACAGCAGCAAGTGTGTTGAAAATGAAGCTGCTTTGTGAACGTAGGGGATAGGACCTTGTTAGATTGAACACATTTATGTAAAATAACAGCTTCTAGAGTCACTCTTGCATTCTGAAATTCTTACTCCCTAGGACTCACCCTCCTCTGTCTATCGGTGGCCACATTTAGAAGGGGATTACAAAGCTCTGCTCTGGGCCCCTTTCTTCCGTTAGTCCCTCCAGCCTTTTTGTAATTTACAGTCACCCATCCATGACCCATCAGCAGGACACATGAGAATGTAGGGCTCCCCCTCCCCCCAGCCTTAGTTGTGTGAATTCAGTTTAGGCCTTATGGACACTTGTTCATTGAGGTAGCTCAAGTTTGAGAATAATCCCTGACAATATTGTAGGTGCTCAATAAGTATAATTGAATAAATAACTTAGTGCCAAGAGGAACTTTTTTTGGTTAAATAGAAATTTCTCAAAAAGGATTTGAGAAAGGACAATAATTAAATGTGGTCATTTAACCCAGGCCAAAACCTAAACTTAATGGTTTGCCTACTAGTTCTTAATATCGTGGCAATATTTGCTAAGATGAATTCTAAAGTAAACATGAATTCTCATTTAATGGTGGACGAAAAAGAGAGTTGCTCTCTCAGTTCAGTTTGGCTTAATCTCCATGTCTACTTCTGTTTCTGGTGTGATCTTTTTCTTTTAATAAACTTACTGAATATATGGCAATAAAAATGGATCATATTCATGTCATGAAGTCAGGTTTGGGAAAATCTGTGAAATCATATAGCTTGCTGATATTAATGATTTATTATGGCTTTGTGTAGACTGTATCCTCAAAAGATTTTGTACTTTCTTTACATATGCAAGGCTTTTTGTTCCTTATATGCTTTTATTAGATGTATTGAATTATGGTAACATTTGATTTTTTTTTTTTTTAATCCTCACCCAAGGATATTTTTACATTTATCTTCAGATAGAATGGAAGGGAGAGAGAAACATACATGACAGAGACACATTGATTGGTTGCCACCTTCATGACCCCAACCAGAGCCTCGGATGAACCACAACCAAGGTACATGCCCTCAGCCAGAATTGAACCTGGGACATTCTGGTCCTTGGGCCGACTCTATAACCACTGAGCCAAATGTATGCCCAGCCAGGGCATACATTTGATTTTGATTATACAGGGCCAATTACCCTTTCCATGGATTAGAGGAGCCTAGTAGCTTTTCCTGGCCTTTCTTTTTCCCTTTTAGTCATTTCTTGTTCACTCTTTCTGAGTAAGGTGGCAAGAAAACTAAAAATGAGAGTCAGGATTGATTTGATGTGGCAATTTCTGATTTGGGGTTTGGTAAATGCCACTGGCCAAAACAACATATTTGGATCAGGATTATTTTAAGCAGTTTAGACTTCTTGGAGGGTGGAGGGAACATTTACTAGAAAACTGGATTCTTCTGTTCATGAATGTGTGCCCTTGGGGGACACTGGTGGCTGCTGGGGTTAGAGCAATGGTTTGCCTCCTCTACCCTTTTAGCTATCCCATAATCCTTCCAGATTCAGCATCAACCATTTGGAATAAATACCAGTTGGATTTTGAATTGGTCTTCTGACCAAAACAAAAACACCTTGTTTATAAACCAAGCCTCATCAGCCTCTAGAAGAGCTCCTCTGGGCTTGCCTTCTTCAGCTAGAATTTATTAAACTGCAACTGGTTACTTACTTTCCTCAACCATGCTCTGGGCAGATGTGTTTCGATCCACGTATAATAATACTTTTAAGACTTAACTAGAAAATCAAAAGCAGTGAAAAAACGTGTGTGTGTGTTCCATCCTTTGGTTGTAAGCAGTCTAGTTTGAACACACATTTTGGGATAAGAGAGGGATGCGTTTTCTTTCTTCTCAGATTTCATTTCTGTCACACGAGCCTATTTGTGTTCGGAAGGAAGACTGCCTTCCTTGACATTCTTCACAATGGGTAGAAAGCATACTGAATTGCGAACTTACCATCCTGTCAGACCACTAATTAATATAGTAACGTTAGACCAAGGGAGCTGACACTTCATCTCCTTTCCTAAATCCATGACATTGGAATGTTACAATCATTCCTGGAAGCCATACTTTGAAATTAAAAACAAATTGAGGCATAATAAAGATGGTGAAGGAATTGAAAATTTAAGATATTTGAATATTTGAAGGATTTGGGGAGATTTAGCTTTGGGAAAGAGAGGAATACAATTAGTACATTGGAGCAAGACTCTGGTTTAAAGGGGTGTACTGAAGCCCATTAAATAGAGGCCATAGGGCCACAGATTTGGGCTCCACATCAGAACACTCTCAGAAAGATGGTTCAACATGTAAGAGGCAGCTTCAGCAATAGTCTGTCCAGCAGAGGTTAGATAAGAACTCAGCAAAGATGATGTAGAGAGGATCCCAGAACTGATTAGGCGTTAAGTTACCACATAACCTAGTAACTTAAAATTCTATGTTGCAGTGCTTTGCCCCTCATAACACGTTCAATTAAATATTTGTTGACCCACAGCTAATGGTTTAAAAAAAAAAAAAGCTTTGCTCTTCTACCAAAAGTGCATCCTACCCTCCAGGAAGGAGGTTGGTTACATGTTGTTAGGCCAAAAGAGTACTTGCCATTATGCCCTAGGCTGTGATTGTTTTGTCAGTCCATTCATTGATGTCCTGTTGAAATCACAAACTAGTTCTTGAGTTAAATTAAAAAAAATTTTTTTTCTTCATTGGTTTTAGAGAGAGAGAAAAGTGAGAGGGAGAGACAGAAACATCAATGAGAGAGTATCGATTGGCTGCCTCCTGCTAGCCCTCCACTGGGGATTTAGCCTACAACCTGGGCATGTGTCCTGACCAGGAATCAAACCGGTAACCTCTTGGGGCATGGGTTGATGCTCAACCACTGAGCCACACAGACCGGGCTTGAGTTAAAAATTTTAAAAAAGGTATTGTTTTAGTAGAAGTTACAATAATAATGATTTCATGAAATTTGTGTATTTGTCACTTGCCAAAAATAGACCAGGCTCAGTTTAATGAATAATTGGTGTCTCTTCAGGATTTCAGGATAGGCATTTTTAGTAGAGTAGAATCTTCAGTTAAAGGTCCCAAAATATACCAACGTGAAGTTTTGCAGCTCCCATCAGACATGGGCTGATGGGTCACTGGCATAAAGCAATCCCCAAGATCTATTTTGGAAAAATCTCAAATGACATTTAGTTACTTGGTTTGATTCGCTTGAAAAAACATGATCTGAAAGTGATTTTTAACAGAAAGGAGGCCAAATTACTTCATGTAGAAAGTAACAAAACACGGGTCTTTGAAAATCAGAGATAACAACAAGCAACATTTGCTAATAAATCCCAAATGACCCAAATGATTCCACCTGCAAAATAACATGCATCCTTGCTAGGCTGATAGATTCATTGGTCTTTACTAACAAGTCATTGGTCTTGCATCAGTAAAAACACTTGAGTTTGGGTGAGACTTCCTTTGATTCCTTTGA